CGTGCCTCTCCGTGGGCTCCGGTGTGCCAGCTCTGGCCAGGCTCCCTGCTTCCTGCCACTTCATTCTCTCCAGCCTCTTCCCCTATTCTCTAGGTGAGGACAGAAGCCTTGTATGTGCAGGATGTGAACTCAGGCTCCAAGTGCCTGGACCATCATCCTTGTGGTGGGAAGGTGGCCGAGCCAGGGCTGCTGCCTGTGCCTGGAAGCCCCAGCAGGCTGTCTGCGGGCTCAATAGAGAGCTGGGGGCAGGGGGTGCAGGTGGCAGAGGGCCCTGTCCCCTGCTGACAGAGGAACTGGCAGTGCGCCACTGTGCTGTCTCCCAGTCCTGGGTCAGGGATAGCAGGTGCCAACCAGGGGGCCCCACCTGCCAGGTCCTCCCTGCAGGTCAGGACACTCTCTGTCAGGGAAACTCTCTCACATTCCTGGGCTAGCCTGGCCAGCCCAGCAGCCACCACACTTCCCTGTCCTCAAGTCACCTCCCAGGGCTGGGTCAGGTCATCCCAGGCTGCAGCTTAGCCAGGACTCCTGGCTTCCTAGTTCTCCTGGGCAGGAGGGCACCAGAGTGGCCCCTCTGGCCCGGCCTCCCCCACCCCATCCCCCCCAGCCTCCCAGCACAAGGATGATGGTGACTTCTGAGCGAGCCATCTGCACAGGAGGTGGAAGGCAGTGACTGCCCCTGAGCGGGGTGAGGAACCAAGGTCATTGCCAAAACTCTTGGGCAATGAGTTTTGCAGTCGGTTCACCAACAGCTATGACCAGAGTCTGGACTCCTGGATGCGTCCTCACCCCCAGCCCCAAGGTGGCACCCCCACCTGGTCTCTGGCTGGCACCCATTAGAGTCCTAGCTTCACCATCCCCACTAGCTACCAGCGAATCACAGGCCCAGGCCCCAAACAATGCTCCCGACATCCCCAGCACCCCTGTCTGTTGCTTCCAGCCCCCACAAGGCGCCCACCCTGGAAGGCTCAGCTCTCCACATCACCCATTTCCGATCAGCCCCCACAGCCACACTTGTGTCTCTCCACACATTCCCTGAGCTCAGGCCCCCCAGACACAGCCTTTGCCTTCTTGGAGCTCCTGTGCTAAGATAAGACTTGATTCTGGCTCCAGGGTGATGTAGACAGAGCTCCCATCAGAAGGACAGAGAGCTTGAGAGAGAGTATGCGGCTTCCAAGATAGACAATGCAAGCAGCAAGGAAGGCTTCCTGGAGGAGGCAGCATTCAGTTGGGCCTTGATCTCTAGATCAAGACTAGGACTTGGCTGGGCGCCATGGCTCACGCCTGTAATCCCAGCCCTTTGGGAGGCCGAGGTCAGGAGATCGAGACCATGGTGAAAGCCCATCTCTACTAAAAAATACAAAAAATTAGCCGGGTGCGGTGGTGGGCACCTGTAGTCCCAGCTACTTGGGAGACTGAGGCAGGAGAATGGCGTGAACCCGGGAGGCGGAGCTTTCAGTGAGCTGAGATTGCGCCACTGTACTCCAGCCTGGGTGACACAGCGAGACTTTGTCTCAAAAAAAAAAAAAAAAAAAAAAAAAAAAGAAGAAGACTAGGACTTACAGAGACTAGGGGGAAGGGCATCCAGATTGTGGGGTGAGGGGAGCAAGCACTCAGAGGCCAGAAGACTCTGCCTAAATGAGAAGTACAGGGTTACTTCAGGAAGGAAGGATCTGCACGGGTAGGAGGCATCGCTGGAGGGGGCAGTGCTCAGGCAGGGAGCATAGAGACACAGCTTCTGCAGACTCCCAGAGGGTGAGAAGGCCTGACAGTATGCACTCTTCTGCAAGCAGGATCCTCAGGCTTGGAAGGAGCAAGGGGTGGGGGCGGGCAGGGAATAACCCTCCTGGGGGTGTTTGCATTTTAAAAGGGCACCTAATTAACACAAATTAATGAGCAGAACATCCAGGGCAGACTCTCCATTTCCCATTGCTCCTGACCCCGCGTCTGCAGGGCACCTCTTTGCCTGCCCTGCACCTTCTCCACCTCCTCCTCCGGCCCATCCACAGCTGCCCCCTCACCGCCTGCTGCCTTATCGTCCAGCACCCCCCAGGGGTGTCTCTGCCCACCAATGGTGTTGGGGAGGGTGCCCCCCAGACTGTGAGGCAGACAGGAAGGAAGAGGATGCCGTAAAAACCCTCGGGGTGCTTGAGCACTCCATGGCCACTTCCTGTCCCCACAGCCCCTTGACTCCAGGGGACTGGTTATCTTTTCCAAGCAGAGCGAAGACATGGTCCATAGCAGCTGACCTGGGTCCCAGAAGGCACTGGAGGTTAAGGGGAAGCTGAGGGCGAGATGTGGGGAGGTGCCTGTTCTAACCCCCCGCCCAGCTACGGGCAAATCTGCCCCCACAGAAGCAGACGCGCGGAGTGCGGGGGTGGTGAGAGGACTCAAGGCCAGGCAGTTCCAGGCTTTGCTACCCCTGGGGCTGTACACTGTGGTCCTGATTGGGGTCTCCAAGCTGGGGTAGAGGCTCCAGTGTTTGGTTAAAGGCCCAGCAAGAGGTCCTTTGTGTCCTGGGTGTGAGAGGCAATGGATCCCAGAAAATATGTCCCTATCCTTGGTTCCCCTGAACGATCCCATACCTTACTTCTCTTCCCGGCCCCTCACCTTATCCGCCCCAAAGTCCCCCTTGCACAGTCCAGCAGGGTGTCCTGGGTCTCGCCTGCAGAGCCTGCTGCATGCCTGAGAGAGGGGTCAGCTCTTGGGACTCTGGAATCTTGACAAGGCTGATCTCTGGTGGCCAATGCAGACCACTGTACCTTCTCTACCCCCCCAAGGCCAGGGAGAAGCCTGTGGGGCTCAGGCCTCAGCCTCAGGACCAAAGTGAGACTTGGGGAAGGAGACCTGCCCATTCCGGAGCAGACTATGAGAGAGCCTGGGCAGCTCAAATGCAGAGACAGTTCCTGGGCCTCTTCTGCTCCAAGCTGTTCCAGGAGAAAAGGCCAACTCCACAGTGTCAGGGCTGGAGGCTGGACCCTCCCCAGAAACTTCCAGACAAGGATGGGTGGGGAGTGTAGAGAGAGAGAACCCTTGCCAGGATGAGAAGGGGACATCTAGCCTGGGGATCCCTTCACTGGCACCTCCTGACTGGCTCCCCATGTGGCAAGGAGTATCCACCCTTGCAGATAAGCTCTGGCCCATGGGCCTGGGCCTGAGCATATGGCAGAGCCAGCCCTGGGGGGAAACTGCAGGCCTTTGGGCTCTCCTGTGAGGTCCCTCTGTGGACTGTCCTTCTGGAGTCCTCCGGAGCTGGGGAGGGTCAGTGGAGAGGGGCTGCATGGTTGGGGAGGGTAGGCCAGGCTGCAGCTGGCCTGGGTGATCACCCTCTCCTCACTTCCAGGGTCTCAGGTGGCCAAGGCAGCAACAGGTAAGCACCCAAGGCCCTGGGGTGGGAGGGACAGGAGCAGGCTGGACTGAGCCAGGGACACTCACACCCAGAGGGAATTCGGAACGCAAAGGGCACTGGAGAATTCCAGAGGAGGAGAAAGTGGGGGCTGCGTGGAACTGGAGCCCAGAAAGGAGAGGAGGAGGAAGGTCCACATGGTAGCAGGATGGCCAGCACAGAGCATTGAGGCGCAGCGCAGGACAAGGGCAGCAGGGTTTGAGGATCACCCTGAAAAGTGACCGGCCCCCTCTGGGTGGCTCCCTTGCAGAGGGCATGACACCCGTTCCATCCTTCCAGGCACCTGTTTGGGTCAGGCCCTGGGACAAGACCCTTCCCCGGGTTATCTCAGTGTCTCTGTGGCCCCCAAGAGGCAGCTATTAGGTTGCCCTTCCCCGGAAGGAGAGCGAGACTCGGGGGGGCAACTAGGGAGGGTCTGCCTGTATCCCAGGCTGCCCAGAACCTCAGGCCTGGGACTTCCCCAAGGTCTTCGGGCAGGTCAGGGGCAGGAGGGCCGAGGACTGGAGTGTGAGGCTGAGGGCTGGGCCTCGGCCATGGAACCAGCCCCAGTGAGGGCCCCCACCCACTCCCCATGCTCCCCCAGCCTGTGGGCACACCAGGATGCTGAACCGAATGGTGGGCGGGCAGGACGCGCAGGAGGGCGAGTGGCCCTGGCAAGTCAGCATCCAGCGCAACGGAAGCCACTTCTGCGGGGGCAGCCTCATCGCGGAGCGGTGGGTCCTGACGGCCGCGCACTGCTTCCCCGAGTGAGTCCACCCGCCCCTGCCCCCACCCACAGCGCTGACCGCGCCCCGCGCGCGGCCGGTTCAGCACCTCGGACAGCGCCCGCCGCGCCAAGTCCTGCGGGTGACCTCCCTGGGGGCTCCTGGTCCAGTCCCGCCTCCTTTCCAGCCAGATGCTTCCCTTAGGTCCAACCCCAGGGCTAACTGCCAACTGCAACCGCTGCTCCCGCCCGCGGGAGGTGCCTCGCATGGCCTCCAACCCCCTCCATCCTCTCCACCCACTCCCTGTGGGTCCCTGCGGAAGCCGCCAGCAGGTTCTGCACACCGGCCTGTCCTGTCCTTTCCCCATCCCGCACACACCTCAGCTCCACGACACTCCTCCCGGGAGGAACTCTGCTCACAAAGCCCAAGGACCAGACAGAATGGCCCTTCCTCCCCTCACCCACCTGAGCCACCCCAGAAAGCCCTGAGCAGAGGCCAGACCACCCAGCCCTCTGCCGTCTATGAACCACCTGGCCCCACACCTTCCGTGTGTCCCAAGTTCCTCACCTCACACCTCACCACCACAGCTCTAATTATTTTAAACCTCGCATCTTTTTCTTTTTTCTTCTTGATCTTTAAAAGAGTATCATGACAAAAAACCCACATCTTAAATTCAGATACTCATGGCCAGGCACGGTGGCTCATGCCCGTAATCCCAGCACTTTGGGAGGCCAAGGCGGGCAGATTAGTTGAACCCAGGAGTTCAAGACCAGCCTGGGCAACATAGCAAGACCCTGTCTGTACTTAAAAAAAAAAAATACCCAGGTGCAGTGGTGCCTGTGGTCCCAAGTACTCAGGAAGCTGAGGTGGGAGGATGGCTTAAAGCCAGGGGTTGGAGGTTGCAGTGAGCGACAATTGCATCACTGCTCTGCAGCCTGGGTGACAGAATGAGAACTCTGTCTCTAGGGGGAAAAAAAAATCGGAAACTCGGGCTGAGAGAGGGCAGGTCACCTGCCAGAGGCCCACAGGTGGTGTTGGCCCTGCTGCACCTGGAGGGTGGTTCTCTCCCAGCCAGCCTTTCAGGTAGGCACTGTGGCTGTCCCCATAGCACAGATGCGAAAGCTGCGTCACAGAGAACTTGTTAGGTGACTTCCCCAAGGTCACACAGCGGCCAGGGGTGGAGGTGGAAATCTGAGTAGGGCGGTCTGGCTTCAATGTAAACATGCATCACTGCTGCACCTGGCTGTCCTAGAGATGGCTCTCAAAGACAGCATGCAGAGAGAGGTGTGGGGCACGGTGGTGGCCAGAGAAGGAGCCCCAGCCCCTCCCGGGCCTGTCCCCACATGAGGGGCAGCCTCACACGGCCTCTCTGCTTCTCCCGCCAGCACCTCTGAGACGTCCCTGTACCAGGTCCTGCTGGGGGCAAGGCAGCTAGTGCAGCCAGGGCCGCATGCTGTGTATGCCCGGGTGAGGCGGGTGGAGAGCAACCCCCTGTACCAGGGCATGGCCTCCAGTGCCGACGTGGCCCTGGTGGAGCTGGAGGCACCAGTGTCCTTCACCAATTACATCCTCCCCGTGTGCCTGCCCGACCCCTCGGTGATCTTTGAGACGGGCATGAACTGCTGGGTCACTGGTTGGGGCAGCTCCAGTGAGCAAGGTAAGGAAACATGGCTGGGAAATAACGAGGGATGTGCCTCAAGAAGGCCCAGGGTGGCTTGGGGGCCACTCTGAACCCACAGTCTTCCTGTTGCTGTATTAATACACACACACGGTCTCTGTTCACATAGGTGGGGCTGAGGGGAGCAGCAGCAGACCCAGAAGGAAGAGGGGGTGACGGGAGACGGGGACAGAAAGGGCCCAGCCTGCTGCCTGGAAGGAGGGAGGATGTCTGCCCCACAGTGCCCTAGGCCAGAGATAGTCTAAACATGAGGAAAGGGCAGGCAGGATGGAGTGGTGGTTCCCGGGGGCCGTGGGTTCTTGATGAGGAAGTCTGTTGAGCCCCGGGCTGTTCTGACCCTCCCCAGACCGCCTGCCCAACCCGCGGATCCTGCAGAAACTCGCTGTGCCCATCATTGACACGCCCAGGTGCAACCTGCTCTACAGCAAAGACGCTGAATTTGGCTACCAACCTAAAACCATCAAGAATGACATGCTGTGCGCTGGCTTCGAGGAGGGCAAGAAGGACGCCTGCAAGGTGGGAGCAATGTGGTGTCCACGGGGACTCAGTCCCCGCCTCCAGGCCCAGGGCAGGGTGGGATCATGCCCTGCTCCATGGGCTGTGCATTGCACCAGCTGAGCAGCTTGCTTCGAAAAAGCAGATTCCGGGGCTGGGCACGGTAGCTCATGCCTGTAATCCCAGCACTTTGGGAGGCTGAGGCAGGCGGATCACGAGGTCAGGAGATCAAGACCATCCTGGCTAACACGGTGAAACCGTCTCTACTAAAAATACAAAAAATTAGCCAAGTGTGGTGGTGGGTGCCTGTACTCCCAGCTACTTGGGAGGCTGAGGCAGGAGAATGGCATGAACCTGGGAGGCAGAGCTTGAAGTGAGCAGAGATCGTGCCACTGCACTCCAGCCTGGGTGACAGTGAGACTCTGTCTCAAGAAAGAAAAAGCAGATTCCTGGACCCCACCCCAGGAGGGTCAGTCAGTGGTTCTGGGGTGGGGCACAGGAAACTGCATTTTCAACACACACACCCCCTAGTTGATCTGGGGACAGTAAAAAAATAGGCACTGTAGTCAATCGACTGGCAGGAGAGGGGGAGCCAGGCAGGGAGGCTCTGGGATGGAGAGAAGGAGTCCAGTGTGGAGCTACTTGCCTCCTGTGCGGCTGCAACTGAGTCTCTGGGAACTCAAGGTGGGCTGACAGTGCCTCTGCCTCCCCCACAGGGCGACTCAGGCGGCCCCCTGGTGTGCCTCGTGGGTCAGTCATGGCTGCAGGCCGGGGTGATCAGCTGGGGTGAAGGCTGCGCCCGGCAGAACCGCCCAGGTGTCTACATCCGTGTCACTGCCCACCACAACTGGATCCATCAGATCATCCCCACACTGCAGTTCCAGCCAGCAAGGTCAGGCGGCCAGAAGCCAGACCCTCGGGGCCAGAAGCCCCTTGAGCAGAGCTCTGCACCCAGCCTGGCTGCCTACACCATCCTGCTGGTTCTCCCAGCGCTGCTGTTGCACCCCTGAGCCCCACCAGACTCATTTGTAAATAGTGCTCCTTCCTCCCCTCTCAAATACCGTTATTTTATTTATGTTTCCTCCAATAAAAACCCAGCCTGTGTGCCAGCTGCCCACGTGGGGATCCTTGGGCGACCCCAGCTGGTGAGGAGCTGTGAGTTGCAGAACAAGGCCCAGGCGGGAGATGTGGAGGGCTCTGGTCATCTTTGAATCAGCAGAAGGGAGCTGCAGCTGGTGTCTGAGGCGAGCGCAGCACCAGAGCATGGGACCCCTGTCATGTGCCTCGCACAGGAGGCCCCCTGCTGCCACCTGTTCCTCTGTTCCCTCACCTCGAAGGCTGCCCCAGGGTGGACACTGCGGACAGCGACGGACACATGTGGAAAGGCCCTCAGGGCCATGCAGGAGCCGTGCCTGGGGGAGAGGAGGGCATGGAGGGGCTGGCTGGGCAGGGGCCCCTCAGCCTCCCAAGCCTGCACTTCTGGCTGCCCGTGTCTCGGTGCCACCCTTCTCTAAACCACTTCAGCAGGAGTGGTGACAGTTGTCCCCCTCGGGTGGGTGCCCACACCTGTGCTTTCCTGCTCCTGGCACCCTTTGTCTCCCTGTGTCCTGGTGTCTCCCCTTGACCCTTGGCTCCTCTTCCTCCGCCCCATTCTTCAGTCTCCACCCCCATGCCGGAGTCCAGAGCAGCACGTGGTGGCAAGGGGGTTAGGCTGGACATGCACATGAGTACATCACACCCACACACACCTGTGCACATGCACACAGGCACTGTGGCCTGCACGGCGCCAGGAAGAAATCAGGCCCGGGGTATTCACCGAGGAATCAAACCAACACCCACTCAGCAAGCAGCTGCTGGGGACCAGCCCTGGGGACACCGTGGGGAGCAAAACAGAAGGAATTCCCCGCTGGGCCCGACCCACCTCCCCAAGGGCTGCCCAGTGGCCCCCATGGGCCATTTCTTGCACTCATCCAGCCCATGGGCAGGCGGGCAGGTCTGGGGGGCCTGTGCGCACAGCCCCATGGTGGAGCAGATGCACAAAGCCCAGGCAGAGGGAGAGACAGGCCCAGGGAGCAGCACTGGGTGGTCCTAGCCGAGCAGGGACTGGCCAGGCCTCGCAGCCTTGGAGAGCCCCCAGTGAACCTGCACCCTGCTCTGGGCTGTGCAAGGAGCCCCATGCCCCCGTGGTCAGGGGGAGGCTACAGGTTAGATGGTCTCAGGAGGGCAGCCCCTGCTGTCTTTGTGCTGAGACCCCACCCAGACCCAGGATGTCAACAGGCAGATGCCCATGGGAGAGGAGCAGAAAACACTCTCTGCAGAGACTAGGGGTTGAGAAGAGAAAACAGGTCTATTCCATGCAATTAACAGCTCCCACAAAGCACGCTGAGAGAAGGACGCTAGGAAGGGACCAGTCCAGGTTGCCACAGGTCGCTTTTCCACCCTGGGGCGGGGGTGCAGCTCAGACTTTGCACGCTGCCACCAAGCAGGACTCTGAGCCATCTGCCAGGTGGGTGGCAGCAGGGCCCCTGCCAGCTCCAGGAGGAACTCAAGGGAAGAGCCTGGCACAGGACTGCGCACGTTTTGTGGCTCCCAGGGAAGCAGGCAGAGCAGGCGGCAGCCTTCATCCCCAGGCTCAGCTGGCCCATGTGCGCGCGCGCGCACACACACACACACCCCCCATACCCATGCCACTCACAGGCACACACCACATGCCACACATCACATACAGCACATGTGCATGCCACACACACCATGTGCACACAGGCACACACCACACCCACACCATGTACAGCCAGTACGTACACACACACACACACCACACAGCGGGAGCCCCGGGAAAGAAGTCTGTGGGCTCCGTTCGGGAGCGGTGAACTGCGGTGAGGGGTCAGCCACAGGCTGGGCATCCCTGTGCCAAGCCCCAGGCCTGGGAACGCTGGGGAGGAAGAGCTGGTCTGAGGGCAAACTGACCCATCTTGGGGGACACGGCTCAGAGTGCAGAGGTGCCAGAAGTCACCACCCCTCACACAGACGCCACATCAGGGCCTTGGTGGCCGTACTATGGGATCAGCTCTTTATTACCCCAGCCAGCCACTGCCATGCGCTCTAGGAGGGAGGAGGGTGCCAGAAGTCCCTGCTGAGTGGACACCAATAAATGCAGGGATGTCGAGGATGGTGCCAGCTGCTGGAGGGCTCCAGTCATGGGGTCTGCAGGAAGCCTGTGGGGGATGGGCACCCACGCGAGGCATCTGCACGTGCCCCGCCCCTGCCTCCTTTTCTGCCCTCACACTGGGCTTCCTGGAGTGGGGCGGGGCCCCAGCCCCCACAGTGGGTGGGCTATGCCGGAGCCCTAGGTCTGAGGAGGAACAGGGCTCCCTCCCTGCCCAGCAGACCCAGCGGCCCTGAGCGTCCTCGGCTTCAGGATCCAAACTGCACGGCTTGTCTGCTTTCCAGCCTTTTGCTTGGATGGGAGACCTGCTCCGGGCTTTGGCTAGGGATGCCTGCCATGCTGAGGCCTCTCTCAAGTGCCCACAACTCTACCCGGTCAAGGGGTTGCAAGGCCTAGCCAGGCTCCTGGTGGGAGTCAGGCAGCGGGAAGACCCCTTGGAGCAGAATCTGGGTCTCTCCCCTGCTCCCAACCCCTGTGCCGGCCTCATGCTGGGCACCTGGAAGCCCAGTCAGCCACTACACCCCTCACCAGGGTGCTGGGGTCAGGCTGGGCCAGCCACACACCTGGAAACAGGATGGACAAGGCCACTATAGCCTGAGGCTCTGTGACCTCAGACAGCCAGGCCCTCAGGGACACCATGAATGGGAATCTCCTTGCAGGGGGGCAAGGAGTCCAAGGACCAAGCTTTCGCAGAGCAGCCACCAGGGGAAGTCATAGCAGCTGGGGAGGGGGTACCAGGACCCCAGGACCTTCTCAGGAAGCTCCTGCTGTCACCACCTGGGCTGCAGGCTAAAGTGAGGGAGGAGAGGTGGACATTAACTTGAGGTATCAGGACTTCCAAAAAAAACATCACTTGAGCTGGGCGCAATGGCTCACGCCTGGAATCCCAGCTGCTTGGGAGGCTGAGGCAGGAGGATCACTTGAGCCCAGGAGTTCAAGACCAGCCTGGGCAACATAGCAAGACCCTTGTCTCTTAAGGGAAAAAAAAAGGCCCTTGTACATGGTCTCTAGTCCCCCAGGCTGGGGGTGTGATGTCTGCTGGAGGCAGGTGAGGTGTCCAGGCGGAGCAGGGTGCAGGGACAGGCTATGCCGCTCTGATCCAGTGGCTCCAGCCAAGCTAGCACCCCGTGGACTGCCCGGCTCTGCCCCGGTCATCGACTGAGAGGCAGAGCCCCGAGTGAGCCGTGGCGGCCAGTGGGGCTGGGCGGCTTGGAGAGGCAGCACCTTGGTCCAAGCGACCCGGGTTGGCATTTCCCTGCATCTTAAGACCATTAACAGCTGCTACGCTCATTCATAAATACACAATTTTATTTGCTATTTTCAGGGGAAACTTAGGCATTAAACTGTAAGCTGATAAAATACAATACCTAAAAAAGTATAAAAGTATAAATATCCCCTCAGAATAAATTTTAGTGAATTAAGTCTTAATATCTTTAAATTAAAAAAAACCACAAGCCTATGTACTATGTCAAGGTCAAAAGTCAAACAACGCTAAGCGGCCAGCAGCTCCCCAGAGAGGATGCCCAGGAGCCCCAGCGGCCGTCGTCCTCCCAGGCTCTGCTGGGGAGGACAGGGTCGACCGTGGCTAAGTCTGCCTTCTAGAAAGGCTTTTATAAATTGTTTAAGCCAAACATGTAACAACATACAAGAGACCTTACAAAAACGAGGAGGTAAGTCCTAATGCTGGAGAACTGGTTAATCAGGTGACTGGCAAAGAAGAGGATGAGGCCTAGGCAGGAAGTCTCCAGAAGCATTGGAAACCAGACAGTGTCAGAGCCTCTGACCTGCAGGCGGGAGGCCGGTGGTCAGTCTGCACAGCGCCCCTTGGGAAGCCTGAGGTCCGGAAGCAAAGCGCTTGGAGCCTGCCCTGCACGCCAGGTCCCCAGACTCTGACAGGTCCCCACAGCCAGCTGAGAAAGGTCTGTTTTCAAAGCATGCGGGCAGCGGTTTCTAAAGGAATCCCAGCAGCTCCCACGGCATGTCGGGCAGAGCCCGTGCAGGTCGAGTGAAGTCCCAAACATCCCAGAAAGAGGGAAGGCTGCATAGTTATACAAAGAAAATGAGAGAGCGGCGAGAGAGAGGCATTTGTGATGCTCTGTAAACATCCCGAATTTTCACCGTGACCCAGACCTTCAGCTCCAGAAGCCAGTGGACAGGCCTCCAGCTCAACCTCTATGCCAGGCGCAACAAGGCACTGACAGGCGCCAGCTCCCCGTGAGCCCGCAGTGGGAGGGATGAGGCGACACTGCTACCTCACGCTCACGGGTGGAACAGATCAGTCTGCACGCAGCAAGCCCTGTGGGCATTTCCAGAGTATAAACACTGGGGAGTCTATCCACATGGAAAAGGGGTACAAAGTTCTCTCGCCTGGAAAATACAAATTGAGAAGCCTGGACTATCCCGGGCTTGGTCAGGCGGGGTTGGGGCCTGTCGGAAGAAGGCCCAGCCTCGGAGTGACACCGGGAAGTCGTGGCGACGTAGAAGCCGCCTGTGTCAGGAGCTCTGCGAGGCTGAGACACCGGCGATCCCGCCTGGGAGGCAGAGCAGACTCCCTGACCGACACTAGGCCTGGCGGTTGGACCAGAGGCCACGACGCGCTGGACACCGATGCGGCTGCGGCCGCTTCCTGCCAGTGAAGCCCAGGCTGCTTTTCCAGACTGTGTAGCACCAAGAACGCTTCCTTCACACCATCTTCAGTATTGAGCGGGTTGACTGGGAGCGTCTGCCTCAGTCCCATGTGGCACTTGGAAAAAACAGATCGAGGCCCCCCCCGAGAGGCAGTGCCCACCCGGCCGCTGCGCTCCCCCCACCTGGGGACGTCTGGCCTTGGACAGCTGGGCTCGTCTCTCACCACCCACCTCAGAGGCAAAAAAGGATTCACACCCAGATCTCTAGAAAAATGATCAAAAGCAGGTTTCTTCTCACAGCCAAGCTTCCTGGACATGGCAGTTCATTACATCTTGGGAAAACGTAAATCATTTCTTCAGCTGTCAATACTATGTCTCTTACATCCTTGAACCTCGTTC